TGCTTGACGTAATTTCGGGAAATGTTCCCTTATCAATGAAAAACTGCAGGTCACGAAAGGTAGCAAATTAATCCATTGTGGGATCAGTACTGCTGGAGTGCATAGTTAAGTAAAGAGTAAATCAAATATTTAAACAAATTTAAATATATACGTTGTGTGACGTATATTTGCGCATGCTCAGAGCAGTCAAAGTAACTCACAAGGCGATTGAACTTTTTTATGTATTTCTGTTTTTTTATTTTTAGAAAATGCAATATTGACGAAAATACAAAGATATACAAAAAGAAACCCATGCCTCTAAAAAATACAAAAGAATAAAAAAGTAGGAAAACAGAAATATTTCCACCGGAAGTTATTCTGTTTGCGCACGCGCAAATGAGCTGATGGTACGGATCATGCTTCCGGTACAGATCGGGTAATGACAAGCGGCACTGTAGATTGTCGTGGAACTTCAGGTTAGCGGCAGTTAACGGCAATTTGCAGGCTTCGCCGAAAACTCCCGTAAATTGTCAGAAATTGACGTGGACTTTCTTAGGCAGTGTTCCCCCCATGCCTCCCCCCCATGGAATTCTAGGGGAGGCTTTAACATGTAAATGAACATGCTGTGAGCTATACAAATACAAATCAGGGTTGCAGGGGGGGGTTTACTCCAAGTGACATTTTTCTAAAAGGTAAGAAAATCTCTGATACAAAGAGATCAGGCTCAGTATAGCCTCTTACATTTTAGCTTGAATTGATTTATTTAATTAAAGTATAGAGACCAAAACAGATCTTTAGCTGACAGAGCAATACATTTAGAGCAGTAATTATTTTTACAAAATTGCATTTAAGATAAAAAATAAAATGTTGTCTGTCAATATGCTCAATTCACAATTACTTAAGTGGAAAAGTTTCAAGAAATTAGTCTGAGATGATTCACTTTATAACATGGCGCATTATCCTGCTGGAAGTAGCCATCAGAAGATTGGTACACTGTGGTCATAAGGACATAAGGTCAGCAACAATGCTGAGGTAGGCTGCCTCATTTATTTGATGCTAAATTGGTATTAAGTGGCCCAAAGTGTGGCAATAAATATCCCCCAAATAGATGGTACAAATAGATCAGGCTCAGTATGACCTAATTATAGACTCTTACATTTTAGCTTGAATTGATTTATTTAATTAAAGTACGCTAGATTACTGTGTATGCCATTAGCAATGGCAAATGTTATGTAAAAAAATACACGATATAATTTATTTCAAAAAATAGTTTTAATCAGAATCAGTTGGTAAAATGTGAATCAGAATCAGCAATGTAAAATGTGCATTCCTTCCACAGTGCTCCTTGGGATTTTTAAAGCTTGGGAAATCTTTTTGTTTCCAAATCCAGCTTTAAACTTCTCCACAACAGTGTCTCGGACCTGTCTGATATGTTCCTTGTTCTTCAAGATGCTCTCTGCACTTTAAACAGACCTCTGAGGCGATCACAGAGCAGGTGCATTTATCAGGAGACTTGATTACACACAGGTGGATTCTATTTAGTATCATTTAGGTCGACATTGGATCATTCAGAGATCCTCACTGAACTTCTGGGGAGAGTTTGCTGCACTGAAAGTAAAAGGGGCCGATTCATTTTGCACACCCCACTCTTCAGTTTTTTATTTGTTAAAAAAGTTAAAAATATCCAATATATTTAATTACACTTCATGATTGGGTAAAACTAGTTGTTGATTCTTCACTAAAAAATGTTTATGTTCGATGCCTGAAATGTGGCAAGAGTTTGAGATTTTCAAGAGAGCAGATTATTTTTGCAGGGCAAACTGTAACTGGGCTGATATCTATTGAGAGCTCTGACAGGGTTTCACTTAGAAAAAGTCAGCAGCCTTTTGAAATGTTCTGTAGTATGGTATAAATCAAGATTCTCCAGAACATTTCTCCAAAGCCTGCTATTTTCTGTAACACAAGTTGTGCTACCCACAGTAATTGCTGATAAAAAGTCTAAAGACTGTTTTAGAATTTTCATATTTCTTTATGCTTTTACTAGTTTTAAATCTGTGGTAAACCATTGTTTTACAGCAACTCCTCTCTCACATATACAATATTGCATCTTCTAATATGTTTCCTTAAAGACTGTTTAGGACAGGAAGCTACAAAAAGTTAAATGACCATAAACTCAATGTAAACCCCTAGCTGTTATCTTTTTATGTTTATTTTATTTATTTGTTTATTTATTTATATGTTTGTTTCCCTTGTTTTATTTTTATTTATTTTTTACATTATATGTCTCATTTTTTTTTTGTTATAATGTCCCCAACTGCTGTGTATCTTTGTTTGATGTTTGAATTACTCTGTATTGTTACACGGAATTGCCAATAAAGCAAATCATGATGATGCAGCTAATCTCGCGAGTCCTTCCGTATAACAATGACCTCGTATGTGATTGGAGGAGCTATACTCAGAAGAACTTTATCACCAGTTCCTTTGTTTGGATTTTGCTGGTACGTGATCCATGGCTGGACGACGTCCCCCGTTCAACAGTCGAACAACTGTGTGGGAGAGACGAACTCAAAGAAGAGAAGCTAGCGGTAAATATATGTTTGATTACTGCCTGCTAAGCTAAAAGCAGCCTAGCCTAAAGCTACGGCTAATAGCAGCCTAGCCTAAAGCTACGGCTAATAGTAGCCTTGCAAGTACAAGCTTTATTAAAGTGTATTTTTTGTGATTCACAGGAAGCAGTACGCCGTCTTCACAACTCGGAGACTAATTGCAGGCGCTATGAACCGGAGCAAGGGTAAGATTTAAAGAATATGCTTTCATTCTGCGGTAAAAGGAAATGGATACGGATGGATACCGATCATAACTGTACGTTTTGTTTTCACAGACTAATCTCGCCTCACAATGAGGCGGTGACCTCCTATTATTCATACCACTCTCATTTAATTGTTTTTCAGCTGCCTGTAAGACGTATTATGAGACGGTACGCAGGAGCTTCAGATATACGCAGCCTCAGAACACGTTGCGCGCGGAAGCTGCCAAGCATTCAGAAAAGAAAGAGAGTAAGACTTTATTTGGTGACTATTTTTCAGGTGCATTGATAGAGGTGTTGTGTCCATACGCAGTGCGCTGATTCATTGTTTTGTTTTTTTTTGTTTTTACAGCTGCTGGAATCGAGGCAGAGTGTGCTAGCTGATGAGGAAGTGGAACTCTGGAATGGCCGCCGCCATTTCCTAGGCCGGATCTCTCTGAACTCTGTGTTAAGCTGCAGTCCCGGTTAGAAGCGATGCCGAAGTACAGGGCCACGCGCAGTAGGGGGTCTGCACATCGGACCTGCCTCGGAGGGAATGCTGCCAATTACCTCCAACCCCGAGGAAGCAAACGGACCGTTCACGGAGTTGTAATTTTTAGATACGCATGTGTTTGGATACGCGTTGTATATAGTTAAGTGTGTTTTAATAAAGCTCTTTCTTTGCATAAACAGCTTCCTGGCAAATGTTCATTTCCTGTATAAATTCATTCATGTCCTCGATTGTAGCCTAATAATTGTGTAGTAGTGTAGGATAACATAAATACACACCATATGAATGAATAAATATATGAATGAATAAATATATGAATGAATAAATAAATATATATATAAATAAATATATATATTTATATATATATTTACATATATATTTATGTAAATATATATATATGCCAACCAATCACGAGTGATTTTACTTGTTTAAAAAGAAGTGGTTCCGTCCAATACTTGGTAAGAAAATTAAAGCCTGGCGTGGCCACGTGTGGTTTTGCTGCCAATCACGAGCGATTTTACTTGTTTGAGAATAGTGGTTTCAGCCAATACTGAGTAGGTTATTCAAGCCAGACCTGGCCAGCCGCGCGGGTTTGCTGCATTCATATGCTAATTAGGGCCATTAGTACAGCTGATCGCTCTCCACATACGTCAGAGTCAGTTCCCGACAATTTGTGGCACTGACAAACGGGGACAAGCGCGGGTTGCAAATTGTCGGAAACTGACAAAAATCAGGGAGATCTGCAGGACTTTACGGGGACGAAAATCTCACTTTTCATGCAGTGAGATTCAGGTTACATCAGGCCTGTGCTTTGACTCTCCCATTTTAGCACTTCTTTAAACCAGGGGTCACCAACATGGTGCCCACATGCACCAAGAGGCCCTCAAGGACCACACGGGTTGCATCTCGCCAATGGGTCAAGTTTGAAATTCTTATTTTATTCTGCTGCTCTTATATTCCAATTATTGATATAACGTGTATAAAATCAAAATGACAATATCTCGGCAGGTGGCCGCTCAGACTGAGCCTGGTTCTTCCTGCTAAAAGAGAGATTTTCCTCTCCACTGTCGCTACAAGCATGCTTAGTGTGAGGGATTGCCTTTGAGTCAATGAGTCGATGTAATCAACTGATTTTCCTTAGACAGGAAACTTTGAATCAATTTTACCGTATGATCTGGTGAACTGTAAAATGCCTTGAGTTGACATTTGTTGTGAATTGGCGCTATAGAAATAAACTGAATTGAATAGAATATCTAAAAGAAAATTTGAAATTATGGAAACAGTAAAAACATGTTTATTATGTTTTAAGGTTAGGTAAAGGCTGACCCCATAGTTCATAGGTCAGTATTGGCAGCTCTTCCAATGACTCAGTACCCATGAAGTAGCTCTCAGCTTTAAACTGGTGACCCCTTCTTTAAACTTTGAAATGATTAAAATCCTAATTGTCTATAAGTGGTGTAAAGTTATCTATCAGTGTTATGAGAGCAAATTATAGCTGTTTTTGTTTTTTTAATTTGGTTCCATTTAGTTTAGTGTCTACATAGTACTTAGTCTTACATGTTTTCAGGCTATTTTTGCCATAAAAGGCATCCTTAGAAAAACAAACCGGTAATTAAAACAAGTTGTGTCTAATTACATCCAATTTCAGTTCAGACTCAGACAACGAGGCATTTCCTGTTGCATTCTTGTTAAGAGTAAAATAACACGGATGAAATGGAAAAAAGCGGATTATTTTTCTTTTTTATTTATTAAAAGCAACAATTTCAGCAAAATGAAAATGTTAGCAGTGATTGGATACTTTGATTGGAACACATATAACACACAAACAGACTTTCAGATGTGGATGTTTGTGTTTTAAAACCAGCTGCAGGAAAACTCTGGTTGATTGCATAGTTTTTGCATTAGGACAGTTAGATGATTATTAAAAACAATCATTTTGATCCCTGATGAAGCAGCAACACACAAAAACAAAAAAACAGGACATTCTCACCAAAGAGTGTTGTTCGAGCAGCAGATACAAAGTTCAGAGAAGCGATACATATTTATATTTTTACTGTTTTCATTGAATACACAATAAATAACATTCGTTACTATTTACACAAACAACGGCATGCCTCTGACTGACTGTCCTACACTGGACGCGGCTTTCATTTGATTAACTATCACCTGTTGAATTTTTGAATCCTTAAACTTGATCTGTAGTTTCCTTCACTTTAAAGTTGCCTGAAAACCGGCTGCGCCGCTGATCCCATCGGCTACAAAACATGGAAATCTTTGTTTATTCTGGATGGGCTGTTTCTTTCTCGAACCACTCCAGGATGATGTTTTTGTTCTCCTTCACCCATTGGATGTTGATTTTGGTTTGCTCGATGGCCTGATCAATGTGTCTGTCGTAGCCTCCCACTTCCTTGAATCTTTCCAGCTGCGGAAAAAAAACAGGATCATTACATAAAGGAATACTTTAAATTTTTAATTCATCAAAGAGTTTTACTTTTTAAAAGATTTCTGGTCCTTTCAGTTTGGATAGGTCAAATAAATTTGCATGTTATATATAACTATATTTAACTTTAATTATATTTATTGTATCTAAATTTAACAATTATGAACTCTGTCAGACTTATTAGTTATATATATTCAAATGAATCATAAAGCTGAAAGTAAATAACTTGATTAACAGCTGAATGTTTTCAACTGCTCTGATCAAAACTATTAGCAATATAGGATGCAATTCAACAAACCAAGACAGATCTATGGGTTTACTTCAAGAGGATACAAATTTAAAATTATATTTAAAGTTAATGAATAGATGAACATGAAATACAAAAATGTTGAAAGATTTGATTAAAAAAAATATATATTTCAAAATAAGAAGTGAAAATATTTGAGATAACTACCAAATGATGAAAGTGTTTAAAAAAAAAGTACAATGAAATAATGTTATAAATATGCTATCTGACCTTTTTTGGTGTTATGAATAAGAAAAAGATAAAACAGCGAAGATGGAAAAGAGTTGGAAGTATAAAAGATTATTTTATTTTAACTTTCTTTGGGATTAATAAAGTATTTACTAATTTAATTAAACTGAATGAATAATGCAAAGACATTTTTAAAAATAAATAATAAATGACTGGTTTATTAATTTTTATTTATATCTAAAAATGTGCTTCATAAATGTTAAAAAAAAAAGATATTTTTAAACAGAGCAACCTTGTAAATCTAAAAAAATAAAGAAATAAAGAGGTGCTTGCTGCCCTGCTGACCTTTTCCACGTCTTTGCCCTCTCTTGTAACCCAACTTCCTGTCTGAATACTTTCAAAATAACATAATAAAGACCAATAGAGTCTAAAACATACTCTTAAACTGAATTCATATGGTAAAGGTGTAAAATAAAATAAATATATAATAATAAAATATATTATAGAAGAAGCTGAAAGAAAATAACAAAGAATTGGAAGTTTTTATCTAATTTCTCTAACATGAAGCGAAAATTACTTTGAGCTTCTTTAAAAAGTTGCAACCTCAGCAAATCCAGGTTTTGACCAATAGACAGTTTATATAACCTTTTTTTTATATAAAAGGAAACAGTTGGGACCTTTGAAACATAAAGATTATCAATACAAATGTGATGAAACATCCAGATAAACATAAACTTAATGGCTCTTATTTAATTGAGGGTCAAAGGGTGAAAAAAATAAATGGCAAATTTCTCATTACAAAGACGGGCCACGATGGGACACATTCCTGTTCGATACGGTATCAGGGTGTTTCAGGTTACTCATCTGGTGCAAACGGATCATCAAAATCAAACAGACATTTATTTCTAACTTCCAGATAAAACGTCAGCCGGTTACCTGCTGCAGCTCAAACTGTGTGGAGAACCTGCGGGTCACTCTCTCAATAAGTTGAGGTGCATTCCTGTAAAATATCAGAAACAGCTTTTAACAGAAGCAAAGAAGCTGAAGGAGCAAATAATCAAGCAGAGTGGTGGCTCAATTATTTACTTTTTTATTGACTTAAGATAAACAACAAGTCCTGGATTATTAAATGAAGGCTAATATCTTGTGCATATTTATAGTTAGATAGCAGCTTTGTTAGCTTCCTGGTAACAGCATAAACAGTGGATACTTTATGGTGAGGAGGTAACGATAAGCACAGATTACAGTTCAGGACCTTTGTCCTTGAAGAGGCAGCAGTGGTTTGCTGTAAACCACTGTACGTAAATGCTGCAGCTTTATGACTCCTCTTTTACGAGGTTTATTGAATTGTCACGAAGGCTCTCTAAACTACACCTCCCTGGATGAGTTGGAGGAGCTCTGAAGTTTATTTCCTCTTGGCTCAGATCCTCTGCTGCAGTGGAGATGAGAACCAAGATGCACATTGGTGGATAAACACTGTTAGAGCAACTAGTTTCTTGGTGGTCCGGCACTACTTTATATATACTAATACTTAAAAGAAAACAAAGCTGATAATATATGTTTAGTTTATCATTTTCCCCCCTACTCTTCTTTTTCTTTTAAATGATTTGAAAATAAATCCTCACAATAATGAAAACCAAACTCACCCCAAGGCAAAATAAAAAGAACATACAAAAATAAGCAGACAAGTAAAAAACAGAAATATTTGTTTATCTACAGACAAAACAGGATTTAACTGCATAGCCTCAGTCTATTAGAACCATTTGGTAGATGAAGAGCAAGCAGGACTTTAAAGATGCAGTTTTAGATCTTTGTTGTATTTGATTTTTCCCATACAGTCTAAATTTTGTAAGTGACAACATTTATTTCCAGCATTGATTTGATAGATTCAAGTTTAAAACTAAAGAGAGAATATTAGAAAAAGTGACAGGATATTGCTATTGGACACTGCTGCTAAACGGGCTTTAGGTAATGCACTTTTATACTGGTAACAGAAAAGATCGTTTTGACTTTAGAAAGTATTTCAAATAAAAAAGAGAGAAAGCAGTGACATTCCTGGTCTGGAAACCATTATGCATATACAGGTGAACTAGACTGGCTACTTCAGCAGGTAGCCAGACTAATAAATGACTACTGTAGACTACATCAGTGCTAGTCTCAGTATTTACCTTAGAGGATAAATGCTTTGCTTGATAAATAATATGGTATTTTAGAAACAGAGATAATAGATGTGCTTCTGTTTATAAAGTAAATAGATTTTTTGTGTCAGTAGCTTGATAGCATGTTATTTTTTCTTTTTAAGGTCACCTTCAGAATGCGCTACGTAAAGCCCTATGCATGTTCAAAGGCCATTTTATGTCACCAAGCTGCAACTAAATGATTTTCAAATAACTTTAGAAAATGCTGTGAGGTTGCAGTGAAGAGAGCCCAAAGATGAGGCCTGTTGATGAGTCATACGCATTGAGAATGGAGCTCCAGGAGTGAATATAAGCAGGACTGTTTCCGTATGAGAGTTAGATGTTGACCGGTGAACATCTCATGTGGTGGACTTGTGTTGTTGCAATAAACCACTCTGGACCGTGACCCATCTGCTTCTGCTTGATTTTGATCATTGTTTGAAGACTTTTCAACTACTTTTTAAGAACTTTGAATTTTTAAAAGACTTAACATAAATTTTTAAGTCGTTGGGAGGACATTCCACGACATTTTGGCGAGCCAGCCAGGAGGAAGCTCAGGCGTCGGACGACCTGCAGCACCAGTTTGAGGCCAGGAACCCCCAAGGGCCCACTATCCACCAACTTACAGCTGAGATACAATTTGTTATAATTTTCTAAATTAGTGGGGAACCAGCCTCCAGCGACTGCTTGTGGGCGTCAGGCACCACCAAGCTCTCCTAAAAGAACCTAGTATTCCAAATTTAATAGCATTTTCCAAATTTAATAATACTTACATTAGAATATACAAAAGGCAGACTAAGCTTGAGAGCGGTCCAAAGGTATGTGTGTATGAATGTATGGTATGAATGTATATGTGAATGCATGGTTTGTTAAGTATTGATTAATGTTTGAACTATTCTGTATTTGAACTGTTCTGTGTTAAGTTTTGAACTGAACAATAGACAAAGAGGGACAGACCGGTCAAGGCGCCTGACATAGTCTGTGGAAGCAGGAAAGGTATTAGTGTATGTTCTATATTTGTGTTGAATAAGTATTGGTAGGCTAAGTGATAGCCAGGCTAAGTGATAGCCAGGCTAAGCGATAGCCAGAGTATTTATGACTAAGCGATAGTCATAGAAACAATAGTACTGCTCTACGGGAAACGTTATCCATTTCCATTTATCTGGGTGGATCCCTGCGGCAGGGAAAACGTGTGTGCCACTGCAGGAGACAGTGAGGATAGCCAGGCTAAGCGATAGCCCGAGACAATAGTACCGCTCTACGGGGAATGTTGTCCATTTACAGTTATCTGGGTGGACCCCGACGGCAGGGAAAAAACGTGTGCCACTGTAGGAGACAGTGAGGAAAAGTTGCTGTAAGAGTAAGAGGCCTGCAGCGTAAAAAGCACAAGGAGTGCATTGTAAATACATAATAATTTGTCTTGTGTGTTGTTGTCTGTTTGAAGCGTGAAAGAGTTAATTACTGAGGGGGAGTAAGGGGCGAATAATAATAATAATAATAACTATAATAATAATAATAAAACTTTAAAGGTATAATAATAAATTTACAGAATTAATAATTATAAAATATAGTTAAAAAAGTAAAATAAAAATTAACAGAATTAGTAACTATAAAAATACATAGTTAAAAGAATAAAATAGAATCACAAGGTCCCAATATAAAATTATGAAATAGGTTATAAGTGTTATATGATAATATATATTATAAACATATATTATTATAAATTATATTATACATAAAATAAATTATAGAGTAAAAATACAAAATACTTAGTAAAAAGTACAAAATAATTTGATAAATTTGTTCTATTAGAGATCCTAACTCAAATTGTAGAGATCTAAAAATTAAGAAGTAGAGAAATTAAAATAAAAGAGATCTGTATTGGAGAGAGCAGGACAAGTTAAGTAAGATCATTAAGGGACTGTAGAAATTGGTGGTTAAGCACAGACCCCGAGGGTTGAGTGATTGCTGGTTGCCATGGGAGCCAATGTGAGCCAATGTGAGCAAGCAGACTGAGTAGCTAATGCCTGCCAAACTGGTAATAATGACACACCCATCTAATAAGCGCAAAATTCAAAAATGCATGACAGAGTGGCATAAGATAACATCTGGGAAAAATCGCTGGCCTAAAGAGGGCAGCTTTGACCCTTCATGCTGTGATGAAGTGGAGGAAAAACTGAGGGATAAAGATAAAAGATTAGACCGAGTGCATTTGCATAAAAAACAGAAACGTGCTGAACAGAGAGACATCCTGCGATATTTTAAAGTTGAACACCATAAGAGTCCAACAGCTCCCGACTTTACCGATCGTAAGCCACCACCTTATCAACCCGCCACAGTAGGACAGTATCCAGTGTGTGAGGAGCTGGGTAGCAAGGGAAAAATTACAGGACAACTTAAATTAGTGTTAGAAGATGAGCAAGAAGCAGAAACAGTAACAAGGAGCAACCAGCAGGGAGAGTGTGGGTATAGCAGTATGGAGGAAGAATCAGACAGATCATTAGCTGAAGTAAAGAAAAGACCATGCCATAGCTACTCAGTACCCCCAAGGCGTCGCAGATGAACACCATATCAGAGGATCCCTACATGCCAGTCAACGCCCAGAACCACATTAACATACAGGTGCTGGTCATAAAATTAGAATATCATGAAAAAGTAGATTGATTTCAGTAATTCCATTTAAAAAGTGAAACTTGTATATTATATTCATACATTACATACAAACTCATATATTTCAGATGTTTATTTTGTTTAATTTTGATGATTACAAATGACAAGAGATGAAAATCTCAAATTCATCATATCAGAAAATTAGAATATTGTGAAAAGGTTCAAAATTGATGGCCCCTGGTGCCACACTCTAATCAGCTAATTAACTCAAACCACCTGCAAAAGCCTTTAAATGGTCTTTCAGTCTAGTTCTATAGGCTACACAATCATGGGGAAGACTGCTGACTTGACAGTTGTCCAAAAGACGACCATCGACACCTTGCACAAGGAGGGCAAGACACAAAAGGTCATCGCTAAAGAGGCTGGCTGTTCACAGAGCTCAGTGTCCAAGCACATTAATAGAGAGGCGAAGGGAAGGAAAAGATGTGGTCGAAAAAAGTGTACAAGCAAGAGAGATAACCGCACCCTGGAGAGGATTGTGAAACAAAACCCATTCAAAAATGTGGGGGAGATTCACAAAGAGTGGACTGCAGCTGGAGTGAGTGCTTTAAGAACCACCACACACAGACGTATGAAAGACATGGGTTTCTGCTGTCGCATTCCTTGTGTCAAGCCACTCTTGAACCACAGACAGCGTCAGAAGCGTCTTGCCTGGGCTAAAGAGAAACAGGACTGGACTGCTGGTGAGTGGTCCAAAGTCATGTTCTCTGATGAAAGTAAATTTTGCATTTCCTTTGGAAATCAAGGTCCCAGAGTCTGGAGGAAAAGAAGAGAGGCACTTCATCCACGTTGCTTGAAGTCCAGTGTAAAGTTTCCACAGTCAGTGATGGTTTGGGGTGCCATGTCATCTGCTGGTGTTGGTCCATTGTGTTTTCTGAGGTCCAGGGTCAACGCAGCCACATACCAGGAAGTTTTAGAGCACTTCATGCTTCCTGCAGCTGACCAACTTTTTGGAGATGCAGATTTCATTTTCCAACAGGACTTGGCACCTGCACACAGTGCCAAAGCTACCAGTACCTGGTTGAAGGACCATGGTATCCCTGTTCTTAATTGGCCAGCAAACTCTCCTGACCTTAACCCCATAGAAAATCTATGGGGTATTGTGAAGAAGAAGATGCAATACACCAGACCCAACAATTCAGAAGAGCTAAAA